ATTTTATTTTATTTTATACAATGTATAGTTAAGATAAAAATTTGTAATATTATGTAATTAGTGATAAGATATTAAAACTTATTGTAAGTCTCATTGTAAGAGAAGATGCAATAAATAAATGTATAAGTATTAAAACAAAAAAAAAAATTATAATGCGCTAACTTGTGGTTGCAAAACAGTTGAAATTGCATTAATGATAAATTTGGGAAATTTATTGTCAAAATAGTTAGCGTCGAATTTTTGTTAGACTTGCTGCATCTAAGATATTATTTAAAAAAAAACTAGAGTTTTTTCTAAGACGATTGTTATATAATATTATATATCTTATTCGATTAACAAATTCGATAAAATTAATTTAAAAAAGTACTAACTTTAGCCTGCTCTACCGATACCTTTGTAAAAAATATTGCAATCAGCTGATTGGATTCTATAAACAAGGTAAATCAAAATAGAAAAATTTTAAATATTTCTTGGAATTAATAAAAAAGCTATATATAAAACTCTTCAGAAAAATGATATACTCTAATTCAATATTATTGAAAAAATTAATTGAAAAAACAATCACTATAAAACATTGTTTGGATTAATCGCCTTTAAAATATTAATTGTTCATTGATATGTTTTTCTCTGACAAAGTGCTCTTATTTGTAAGAAACCCAAAATGCAAATAATTTTTCAGTGATGATGAACAAAAGAAAATTCTTATCAGAAAAGCTGAAAAATTTGTTTTAATAATTTAATAATATGAATTTTTAAGAATGTATAATTATATTATAGAATATTTTAATGTACCATAAGGACAATAAAATAAGTCATCCTTATAGTACTTTACGCTATAGAAGTGTATATTAGAGAAAACGTGATTTTTTTTTATTTCATTTATATATTTTATTTTATAACAGTAGCAGAGTTGAATAACAGTTTGACTCTTGGTTTTATGTTTCTAGAAAAAAGATACAGTAGTTGATTTAAGGATAAAGCGTATAAGATTGTCATTTTCGGCCAATGTAAACGCCATATTAATTTGCATCAGTGTGCTAGCACTGTACTATTAACTTAAATTGCGACGGTTCGCAATGGCGACATAAACTGTAAAAGCGATTTCATTACCTATTGGTTAATTTAAATCACATACATATATATATTGATATATAAATTGATTTTGCCAAAAAAAAAAAAAACAAAAAATAGTACATAATAGTAGTAGACATGTTGACATCTTTCTTTTCCAATTGTATACAAAATATTGGACCCATTCCTATAATTCCTATAACGTTGAAGTTCCTCCACCAGTCCAAAGAATTATAGGAATGGGTCCAAAATTTTCTCTACAACTGAAAAAAAAAGATGTCAAGATGTATTGGTTTTATTAAGTAATTGCCCATTTGATTGGACTGGTGGAGGAACTTCAATGTTATGGGAATAATAGGAATGGGTCCAAAATTTGGTATACAATTGGAAAAGAAAGATGTCAACATGACTACTATCATTAAAGATTTTGAATATTGTATACAACAACATCCGTATAACAATAATAAATTAGACCAATTGAGAATGAAAGGAATAAATATGATTACCAATTTTTATTCAAATGGACAATTACTAAATAAAACCAATAGTATGAAAAAATACATAAATGCTATGAAAAAATGTGTACATGATAATAACAACATTATTGTGACAAGAGCAGATAAGAGAAACTCTACTGTTAATTCATATAAGGAAGAATATTTCCAATATAAGACAGAGATATTTAGTGACAAAAATATGTATGAAGTTGTAAATAAAGATCCTACCACATCAATTGAGACTAAAACTAATTCAATTATTGACTCACTATTAAAAGCTGGATTAAACACGAAAACAGAGGTGTATCAATTAAAAAGAAATAACAGTATATGCTCCAAAGCATATGGTCTCAGGTGGTGAATTTTAAAAAGATACAGAGAATTTCAGTGCTCATTATACTACTTGACAAATATCGGTTAAAAGAAAACAAAAAGAAGAAAGAAAATAATTTGACCGATGGATATTGATATAGAGAGCTTTTAATAGAAATAATAATAATGTATATAATTATTTGTATTTATAAAACAAAGACAACTATATAGGTTGTACTAAAGTTTTTAACATAACAAAATAGATTATATATTTCCATTTTTTTATTTTTGGTTCTATGTTAATTACTGTCTGATCACTCAACACATGTGATGTTAAAAATAAAAATAATTATTGTTTATTTAATATTTTTGTGTTCAGTAGTGTTAACATTTTATATAAATGTTAATTTACGTATATATTGTTTTAATTTTAGATTCATAAATCTTAAGTTAAGCTTTATATTAAAAGTAAAGGTACTATTTTAATTGTAATGTTTATTTTGTATAATTATTACAGCACTGAGGATGTTCTAAAATAAAGAACGAAATATTTACTTCAAATTTCTAAATATAAGCGTTTTATTGTGGTTTGTTTGATAGCTGAAAAAAATTTTAATTTATAAAAATATAATACGAAACCAGATGATATCAAAAAAAAACAAACTTAATTATTAATTATTAACCGTTAACAAATATTTTTACTCGTTTATTTATTATTATAAAAAATCGAATGTATAAGATAAGAAAAGATATTTAAATATGATAATATATAAGCTATATATTATCTATAATATCTATAATGGCAAACTCCTATTGATCGGGAATGTTAACCGGTCTCAGGAAGTTATCAAAACCAACGACTGTAGGATCTTCTACAGGTTCAGCTTCGTCACGGTCCACCTGTATAAGGGGCGGGAAACAAGGAGAGAAATAACTCAGCTGAGGAAACCACCCCTGCTGAAGGGGCGATTCCTACAACAAGCGAAGAAGGATGTATATCTAATTTACTAATCGAACAAGATATATAACATTGTACATCAATCGTCTTAGAAAAAGTTCTAAATTTTTATTTCAATATTTTCGATGCAGCAAGCTTCCAACATATATCTTCAATGCAATTCCAACTGTTGTGCATTCACAATTTAACGCATATTTAAATTCATTATAATTAATTTGTGAATGTTCTATTTTTTCATATAATTGTGATTATTAGAATATTGTATTCAAAGTTTTTTATACATTAATTGTTTTCTGTCTTCTAGTCTTTTTAAAAAAAAACTTCTTTCTGCAATTTTGACACTCAAGAACTTTTAAGTAAATCGAGCAAGTTATAGATACAAATACACACAATGAAAGCTTGAAGTCTCCTTTTTCAGATAAGCTAATTTGCAGAAAAATGGTATCTCTGCTTTTAAAGTTATAATTCATATGGTAATGTAACTTCGTTTTTACAATTTTTTGCTTTCCACTTTTAAAGAAAATATGCTTTTACTATATAAAAACTAAGTATATATAGAAAACCAAACATATTTTTTACTGTTATCTGTCTTTTATTTCATAGTTTTTTTCTAAATAATAATGTTTTAACTAATTTAAAATTGAAAGGACGTCTTAATAAAGATTCGACGCTAACTATATTTTGACATTACATTTCCCAAAATTATCATCAATGCAATTTAAACTGTTTTGCATCCACAAGTTAGCACATAATTAAATTAATTTTATTTAATTTGTTAATTAAACCATATATATATTATTATACATTAATCGTCTTAGAAGAAATTCTGATTTTTTATTCAAATAATATGTTGGATGCAGTAATCTTAATAAAAATTCGACGCTAACTATTTAGATATTTCATATCCCACATTTATCGTCAATGCCATTACAACTGTTTTGCATACCCAAGTTAGTGCACATTTAATTTAATTATATATAATTTGTTAATCGAATAAGATATATAATATTGTATATCAATCGTTTTAGAAAAAATTCTAGTTTCTTATTTTGATAATATCTTTGATGCATCAAGCTTAAAAAAAATTCGACGATAGCTATTCTTTTGTAATTCTATGAACTTACCAATAACTCTGCAACTGTACATTATGTTTTTCAGTGCCATTTTAATTATTCAGCGAATTTAACTTAAGATAGTATGCCATCTATTAACGAACTTTACACAAAATTTTTGAATCATTAATATAATTAAACTAATTTCGATTTTTTTCAAGTAATTGTGTTTATTAGAGTATTGAATTCAAAGTTTTTTATATATTAACTGGTTTCTGACTTCTGGGATATGCTTTTTATAAGAAAAATATCGTTTTTAAAAGAAAATTAATTTCTGAATTTTGACATTCAATAACTATTAAGTTAATCGGCCAATCTATAGATTTGAAAACATGAAATTAAAACTTGAAGTGTCCTCTATCAATTAAGCTAATTTGCAGAAAAATTGTATCTCTACTTTTAAAGATATAATTAATTTTGTAATGTGACCTACTTTCACAAAATTTTATTTTCCTTATTTCGAAGAAATTGTTTTCTAGATCATATAACAAGCAATTATATTTAGAAAAACAAACATATTTTTTATTGTTATATGCTTTTTATTTCATAATTTTTGGTTAAGTAATAAAGTTTTGATTAAATAATATATGAAAATGACATCTCTATCTTCATCGCAGCACTGCTCCTAAGTTAATCGAACAACCTATACAAAAGTTTACATTATATGAAAGGGAATTTTATCTTCTTTCAAATGAGCCATAAAAGATATAATGGTTTAAACGTTATTAAAAAATTAGTGACCCCATCCTTTGGGCTGATTTTTATTTTTCATTTTTCATACAAATCACATCATTTACGCATAAAAATTGAGTGTAGATAGTAAATTAATTCAATTTTCTACTTTATAATGCATTACGCCGCATTAAATTTAATAAAATAATAAATTTTCCTTAATTAAAGTATACTGCATTTTTCATACGGCGAAAAATGTTCAAATTCCATTTTGGACTTATCGTCAACGCTATCTTTACGCACATTAATTTGACGCCCATTATATTTTCATAAGCATCAATCACATATTCACGCTTGATGGTGTAATGTCATATTAAGTGTATTTCACTTTAAACATAATGATGCACAAGAGAAGTATGGGTTTGGGGAAAGAGTTTAAAAAGTCCGTGTTTGTAGAGCGTTGATTTTTGAATCATTCTTCCATCGTTTAAACTTGAATGAAAGTTGCAGTTGCGGCTATAAAGAAATGTCAGATAATTCACATTTATCAATAGCAATAGTGTGTTCTTCCAATATGAATCGCTCTATGGAAGCACATAGTTTCTTAGCCAAAAAAGGTTTCAAGGTAAGGAGTTTTGGTACCGGAGAGAGAGTGAAGTTACCAGGAATGGCATTTGATAAGCCTAACGTGTATGAATTCGGAACACCTTATGATACTATATATAATGACTTAGTTACTAAAGACAAACAATAGTAAGTAAGAAGAATATATACTTTATTATTAATTCCAAATCTGCTCATTAGCTATACACAAAATGGACTGTTGCATATGCTGGATCGCAATCGCAGAGTAAAGAAATGTCCAGAACGGTTTCAAGAGTGCAAAGAGCAGTTTGATATAATTATTACTGTTGAGGAACGTGTATATGATCAGCTACTTGAATATATGGAATCCCAAGATCCTCTAGACAATCGACCGGTGCACATTTTTAATGTTGATATTGAAGATAATCATGAAGAAGCTTTGCTTGGTGCATTTTTAATCGCAGAAATGCTAAACATGGTATCTTGAATTACATGCTTTTGTATATAGATTTAAATTTGTTTTTTTAAATTTTGTTTCATATCAATTTACTCAAAAATATAGCTACAGATATGGTCATTGGTTTGTTTTGTAAGGGAAAAATTGTAAAGATTGATCATTGACTATTTTATCTAACAAAAGCGATTTTTAGAAGTGCTCGGTAAAGTGCTGAAATTTTACGTTAACTCTACATCGGTTTTGTTAATTTATTTGATTTAAGGTGTTGAAAAAAAATCTAATTTAATTTGAAATTTAAGGAAATAATATATTGATAGAAAAAACAATTAAATAAGTTACTAAACTTAATATTTGAAGTCAATTATAACGAATTAGAATTATTTTACAAATAGAAAGGTCTTTAAAAAATAGTGAATTATAACAAAATTTGCTTTCAAAACTATAATGGGAAAGAATAAAAGTGTTTGGACAAACTTACACATACTAATAGTTATATTCATTATTGGTAATTATTGTTTTATGATACAAAATTTTTTAATATGTAAGAAATTAGTATGCTATGATTAGTGCTAAAATAATATATTTATATAGCAGATCTGGTTGTTTAAAAAAATTCAAAATATGTTTAAGATTTTATCAATTGTAGAAATTAAGAGAAAAATCAGCAATTATCTACTAAATTCGAAATTTACACAATAAAATCTATTTATTTTTTTTAGATGGTAAAAACTAGTGATTTGGATAATGATATTGATGAACTGCTTCAAGAATTTGAGTCTCGGCGTAATAAAACTATACTCCATACCGTTCTTTTTTACTGATGACATAAACAACAAAAATTGGACCTTATGATTTAAACGAATGTAGCATATATATATATATATATATATATATATATATATAAAGATGTTTAATTAGTCTACTTTACATTATTATAAAATATTGTTGGTTATGTATGTATAAGAACTTTTATTCGTTTATCATAATCTACCAATGTTAGGTACATCTTAATTCACGTGCGCATTAAAATAAGAACAAATAAAATAAGTATTAACTAAATTGGTTCTATCTTTTAAATTTTACACTTATCGTAATTAAATACATTTTAAATACAAGCTGTTTTTTTTTCGTAGTGGTTTTGTTACACAAGTGTGTTATATCTGCACATGAAAAATTAAAGGAGAAGGTGAATATCTTCACATGAAAATTTTAAAGATAAGGTGAATAATTGTCATTATATAGCCATGGAAGCCATTATATATTGTGCCTATTCTGAATCGTATGGGAATGGGAATTTTTTTCCCAATTTTGCACAAATTCTTTCCCAAGCATATTGTTTGGGAGACCTGTTAAATAAGTATTAAAAATAGTTTAACTTAATATGTAAGTGACTTATAATGATAGACAACATATAATAAGCAATTCTTTTCTTTGTTTTGTTCATTTTCGCACGTTTCGCCATTAAAAAGTGCCATGGTTGCCAAAATTCCACAAAACAAATTTGACACTTTTGTTGTTCCCAAAACAGCTGTCTCCCAAGTAATTCAGAATAAAGGAGTCCTAGTCTTGGGAATAGGGAGACTTGTTCCCTGGGGGTATTCAGAATTGCTGTGTATATGTTTGCATTTTAAACACTACGATAATATGAATAAATTAACCTATATGATTATTAAAATACAGAAACTAGACTCAAATATTTTTGTTTTTCAAATATCAATGACTTGGTACTTTTCAAACGTTTTTGTTGCTTGCGAATAGTTTTACCAACAAAATTTATGATGTGTTTGTCATTTTAAATATTGTAAACAAATTCATAGCAATTCTGAATATTCCAAGGGAACAAGTCTCCCTATAATGAATACTTTATAAGTAAATAATAAAAAATTTTTATTTTATTATTTAAATTTATATATAATTTATTATTTTCTTATATACAATAAAACAAAGTAAAATATCTTATTTATTAATTAAAATTATTAATGTTTTAACTAAAATTTGATTTAAAAGAAGCAATGTTTTACCTGTGCATAATTGCAAAAGTTTATTTTAACGTATTCTAGGAATCCCATTCATTTCAGAATATTTGGGTTTCTTTCATTATCTATTGTTTTAAATAACAATAGTTATTGCTTTAATTTGTGGAAAAACCCGTGTGGATAAAATAAATAAATAAAATTTTAAATATATTACATTTGTAATATTACTTCTATTATAATAATAAAATATATATAACAAAATATAAAATTAAATAAAAATTTAGCTATATTAAATTTATTATAATAATTATATTAAAATATATTTCAAAAACCCGTGCGGATAAAATAAAAATATAAAAATTTAAAAAAATTTAATTTATTATAATAATTTTATTCTGATAATAATTTTATTTAAATATATTCAAAAATCTGGTCATTATAAGTTACTTACATATTAAATTAAACTCAACTCTTTTTTTTACCTTATCTCCCACACAATTTGTTTGGGTGAAATTTTATGCAAAATGGGGAAGAAACTCCCATTTCCATTTGATTCAGAATAAGAGAGTTGGGAATAGGGAGCAAAACTCCCATTCCCATATGATTCAAAATAGGGAAACTAGGAAAAGAGAAAAGACTCCAATTTCCATGTGAGTCAGAATGGGGGTGATTGAGTTTTAACAACGTGCACCAAACTACTATGAACATACATATGTATCCTATTTATTGCCAAATTTAATTTTTCGCCACAATTTTTAATATTCGGAACAATAAAACAATAATAAATATAATAATAATAATGAAATAATAATAATAATAAATAGTAATAAAATTAACGGAAATATGCTGCTATCAATTTGTTTGTATGTTCGATGTATGTTGTTGTTGTTGTTGTAATCCGCCAACAAACACATACCTGTTTGTGAAGTTCCGTCTTCGGCGAGTGGCTCCGGGACGTAGACCCGACCGTTCTTGGAACCATGTATGTTGCATATACGTCGTCCTACTAATTCTAGCATTATCACAGACAATTAAGGATATCAAAATTTTGTAGACAAATTTTTTTACATGGAGTTTTACGAAAATATATTGAGCAAAATGGATGTATGTATTAGGCTTATCACACACTGTTTATTTTCTGTGGAGCGTATCATCGGCGCTCCTTTTTTAATAAAAACCAACAGTGCGATTCCGACGTCCCGTTCACGCTGACGGATTTTGGTGTAGATATATTTAAATTGCAAACGTTCTCTTATGGCAACTATTATATGCAATTTTTTATTGATTGCACGAAAATTGAAAAACTACAATACGCTATCTTATGTGTCAGATCAGATGGCGTATTCACTTTTATGTGAAAATATCTAAGTTGAAAACCCGACATTAAAAATAACACAAGTAATATTAATATTTATACGTAGTGGAAAAAGTTTTTTCTACTAAAATCCATTGTCTAATATCAGTTAATTGTACTACCATTCAGCAGACTTCGAAAGCTCCAACGAACAAGTGACCTTCGCATGAATGGGCCAACTGCTTTGCTCTCACGTGATCATATTGATTAATGGTTACGTAAAATTTGATAGATTAAGATAGGAAAAAATAGTGTGATGACGGTGAGTTGAACTACCACCACCAAAAATTGAAGCTGCAAATGTTGCATTATATTAACATTTGTGTTCAATGAGTTCAATAAAACGAATTGGCCTAAATAACATAGTAAATGCAAAAGAGAGTCGACAAAATTTTTTCTTAAAATAAAAAACAATTTGAAATGGCAATTTTTGACACAAAAAAGTATAAAAGGGTATAACATTCTTAATGATCTTTGCACATAAAGTGCATTTATATTCGCAAAAAATTGTATTTTTGATTGTGACAAGTTAGCGATCCAAATGAGGAATTAAAATGTCTTAAGTAGTTAATTAATAACTACTTGTCTCAGCAATTTAATTGCAAAATTGGTTAAAAAATAAGAGATGAAAGAGGTACATATTTTAACTCTTTTAACTCTTATACAAACAATACAGTAGTTCTCTTACATATGTTTAGTTTTCTCACTTATATTTTACGCTTTTAGCTAAAGATCATATAAGGTTTATGGACTTGTTTTTGATGCAGTTATCGTAAGCTTTGCCTCTCATTACATTAGCTTTATTCATTTTGTATATAATTTTACATTTCTGCATATGTTATTGGTTTGTTTTTAGAGTAAATAAATAATTCGGTTTAAACTGAGACGCATTTCATTTAGTTTTTGTTCGCTCATTCATCAAAGTACCTCTAACTTATTAGCGGCGTTAATTGCAACAACAGAGTGTTTCTAAGTATTTTGTAGAACAAAAAAAGGTTAATTAAAACATTAAGAAATTAAAATAATTAAGATAACAAATACGAATATACGAATATCGCTTAAAAGATGGAGTTAAGTCAAAATAATAACGGTGAGTAATACTGTGTTGTACACCAAAGTCATTTAACTGGGCTAGTAAAAAGCGTAAGTAAACGTGTAACGTGTATCGTTTTACACGAAATATTACTAAATATTCATGTTTTTGATTGTTGCGAATTTCGAACTAATACTAACTGAAAATATATAAGTCAAAGTTTTCAATGAAAACATTCTTGTATTTTAGTCTATCATTTTATGGAAGTTTAATTCGAAAGCAATGTTTTTCAAAATATTTAATAAATAATAGAAATTGAAATCATTAATATTTATTATCCTAATCTACCTGCAATGCATATTATATATATATGCACATCTGCAGTATATAACGCGACACTAGCTTTAATTCAGTTTTATTTTATGAGATCATTTCAATGATTGTAACTATATAAGTATTAAAATGAAATAAATAATAAAAATAAAAGTGGTGAGAGACTAATAAGTAATTATTTCATAACATTTAAAATTAAATGTTAGAAATGTAAAAAGTTTGAACTAGAGCTAAGTTCTGGTCACAATTTTTTTATTAAGTGTTGTTAAAATTGTTAAAGGTCAAGAAAAAATTAATTGCAATTTATATACAAACAATATTGAGTTTTCAATGTTGCAACGTCATATACGACGCATATTGTTGCTGTTTTCTTTTTAATTTGATTTTTAAATGTTAAAAGGTGACTCAGAGGTAATTAATTCAATACCCGTATACACAAAGTTAAATACATATTTATATAAATTTAGAGAAATATTAAAAGTAAATCGCGTGATATTTTACCCATCATTCCCATATAATCAGCCCTATTCTGAATCGCATGGGAATGGGAGTTTGTTCCCTATTCCCAATTTTGCTATTCTGAATCGTATAGGAATGGGAGTTTTTTTCCCAATTTTGCACAAATTCTTTCCCAAGCATATTGTTTGGGAGATCAGTTAAATAAGTATTAAAAATAGTTTAACTTAATATGTAAGTGACTTATAATGATAGAGAACATAAGATAAGCAATTCTTTTCTTTGTTTTGTTCATTTTCGCACGTTTCGCCATTAAAAAGTGCCATGGTTGCCAAAATTCCACAAAACAAATTTGACACTTTTGTTGTTCCCAAAACAGCTGTCTCCCAAGTAATTCAGAATAAAGGAGTCCTAGTCTTGGGAATAGGGAGACTTGTTCCCTGGGGGTATTCAGAATTGCTGTGTATATGTTTGCATTTTAAACACTACGATAATATGAATACATTAACCTATATTAATATTAAAATACAGAAACTAGACTCAAATATTTTTGTTTTTCAAATATCAATGACTTGGTACTTTTCAAACGTTTTTGTTGCTTGCGAATAGTTTTACCAACAAAATTTATGATGTGTTTGTCATTTTAAATATTGTAAACAAATTCATAGCAATTCTGAATACTTCAAGGGAACAAGTCTCCCTATTCCCACGCTATTCCCAAGAACACAACTCCCTTAT